AAAAAAAATGTAGGTAGGTTTGGGGCAGATATTAAAAAAATACTTTAAGAAATAATTTTGCTCTTGAAATGATTTGGCCATGAATAACTAACTCATTTGATTTTTGATTGATAATGACTTACTAATAATCATCCCATAGGGAAGGTGATGGGGTGGGGGAAGTGACAAGAAATTTGAGGCCTAAACTGTGAGCAATGACAAAAGCTATACAGACTCTTCTGGGGCTGTTATAAGAAACACCAGGTAAATGACAAAGACTGTGTCATTCATATTCCTCCAGAACTGGCTTTATGGTAGAGAAAAAAACAAATGACATAACTCAAATTATTAAAGCTAAACATAGGCTTAACATCCTATTGGGAATGCTCCCCAAACTTATTAGTGCACAGTGCTTAAAATTACATAGACTTCAAAACAAAACTGGTTGAACTTCCAGCTCTGCCTTTTAATAGCCACACAACTGGGCAACTTAACCACTCTGAGATTAGATTATGTTTAGTGTCAGGATGCTCTTAATATCTAATTCACAGAAATGATGTGAATTGTCAGTGAGTGAAAAATGTAAAACATGATGCTCTTGGAAGAGTGCCTGGCACACAGGAAGCATTAGCTACCGGGCCTCTTTGTTAGTACTCCATGACACGGCTGTGCCTGACAATGTCACTGTCTCACAATCGAATGTGAAAGATTTTTGGCTAAAAAAAAGAGAATCCCTGATATCTGCTGCTTTGCTAGTCACTATAGACAATTGTGATTAAAATGCTTTTAAGAGTTTCAGAAGACTAAAAGGTTAAATTCTAAGGAAGAGGAGAAATGAGTTAATGCATATTTTTATCATACTAGTTCAGATGAGAGCATGAATTGAAAGCCTTCCAGATGTGGGTCACAGGCCTTGAGATCCAACAAAGAAGAAATCAGAAAGCCGTCAATGTTTTCTGAATCGCCTCCTATTGGATGGGAGCTGACAACTTGTATAGCTGGGAGGCAACGTCACTTCTGGCACACAGTGCTCTCTCAACAAGGGCACTATTGATAATGCACATTTGCCTTGAGCTTTATCACTCATTTTTACGCTCTCTGCCACCGCCTGTATCTTACAACAGTGGCTCAGCAGAGATACTTGCAGCTCATTGTGCCAATGCCACCTTCTTCTGTGTATTCTGTGTATCTAGCTTGGCTATATCATGAGGACATGATATACCCGAGGACATGACTGCAATGCTTTTCCTGATTCAAGACCTGCAGACATATTATGTTTTCATGGAGAACCTTAGGTAACTGGCTGAACCACACAATAGGGAAAAAAGCTATGTAAGAGTGTATATGCTACCACAGTGTGTGTGTGTGTGTGTGTGTGTACACATACATACATGGACCAGGCTCAGCAAGCGACAGCCCAGCATACTACCTGAATTTGTTAAGAAAGCTTTATTAAAACATAGAGCCATTCATTCACAGATTAAATATGGCTGCTCTTCAGCTACAACAGCAGAATTGAGTAGTTGTCAAGAGACTACACGGCCCCCAAAACCTTAAGTCTCTGGCTCTTTTCAGAGTCTGCCAGCCTCTGACATAGGCTCTCCCTGGGAAAAGTTCACAAGAAATTGGTAACACTGATCACCTCTGTTGAGTGGATCTGAGAGGACCAGGGTGGGAGGGAGACCCACTTTCCACTCCCCCCATACTCTTTGAACCCTCTGAGTTTTGTACTGTTTATTATATTACTGCAGGAGAGACAGGAATGAAGGAAACAAAGACTTTCCAGAGTCCTGGAAGTCAGTGCTGTCTGGGCTGGCATTACAGCACCTTCCCTTCGGCTCTCCTCTCAGAGGAAATGAGCAAATCCAGCCTTAATCCAAGGCCAAATGACAGAAAGCGAAGAGAGGAGGCCATCACTGGGCTGTATTTGGAGAGAAAAGCACTCCACACAGACCTGCCTTACGAGAATGAACCACGGGGGACCTTGACTACATGACAAAATCACTTTCAGACAAAAACTAAAACATGACTGAAGATTCAAGTTTCAGAAACTTTTTTAAAAATAAAAATTTTTTGACGTATTACTCTCTTCTACTCAGCTTCGGCTCTAAAATGTTTCAAGATTTAAAGTGTCAATACCCGGTTTTCAACTTCTAAGCATTTTTTTAAAGTGTACTGTTTTAAATTAATTTATCATATCGTGAAGGTTCAAAACGAAATCTAGGTCAGTTTGTATCTGAGGCAGGGAAGCTTTTAACATTTAAAAAAAAAAAAATGAAAGGGACCTATCTCCAGCCTCAAGAAAAAACATTCTAAAACCAAATATCTTCCAGTATCTTGCTTTCACTCATTTAATCCTGTGCCAGTATGTCATCTTCAGCAACTCTAATATTTGATATTTAAGTCACATATTGGAAATCAGTAAGGTCGTCTTCTGAAGGTCAGTGTTTACTCCAATGCAGGTGAGCAAACACTGGTTTATCTGTCCTTTGCATATTTAATTTCTGTACAGAGCTATTTAGTGGGGTGTCTCAAACCTCTCACTATGTGAAATGACTTCATACTTCACTTATGTCCCACTAAAATGACAACAGAAAGCTTCTAAAATGCTTCTCAGGAGCAGGCACTAAGGAGGCATGAGCTGAGAAGCATCTCAACCAGCAGATGCTTGGCTTCTGGGCAAAGGCGAAGTGTTCTGCTGCTTGTTGGCTTTCTGTATTAAAAAAGGCTTTATGTACACCCAGGGTTTGTGTATTCCTGTGGCCAACTGAAAGAGGCAGTGGCAAAGCCACAGTCAGCCTCCATACAAGTTCCTGGGAGTGCCAATAGCAGATTAGGCAAAAATGAAGCTTCCTCTGGGCAGACGCAGCTCAGCTCCCAAGTGTGTAAATGCAGACTTGAAGTCTACTCGCTTGTTAGAGTCTGTAAACAAGTCTGGATGGCGCCTGGCATTTTGCCAGAGGGAGTGGTTTGTGAAGTAACTCCAGCGAGCCATTAAGTGTGGAGATTCCTTATTGGTTGACTGATGTATCTAGTTTATGCTAATTAAGATAAGCTGTGTGGAATGTATAAATACCTCTGTTGTCCTGCAATAAACGGCTCCCACTCCTGCTGTATCAACGTACACAAGTTGTTCGTCACCCCCCAGGCTATTTTGCCACAGCCCGATTGGTGGCCCGTTACGGGGAGCCCCGGGACACTTGGGGGTAAGTGATGAAAAAAAAGCTGCCCGTCCATAGATAGGACGGGAGCAAATCTGCTCGTCCCTAGGCAGATAGGGCGAGAGGAAAAATGGCCATTTTGAGAAAATGGAAAAGATTGATACAGTATGTTTGTGTCTTGTTTTGTCTTGAAATGTTGTATTGTCTTTGTGACGAAAATATGGAAGGGGTGTTAAGTAAATTACTAAGGGAAGGAGGCACCCCAGTGGAACCAAGAGCAGTTAGGGCATGTGTTGATAAGAGCCCAGGAACTCTAGTCAGAAAGAAAAAGAAAGTTCAGAAGAAGAAGGATTATCAGGAAAAAAGTTGCAGCAAAAGGCTATTACTGAATACTTTTCGTTACCGGAGGGTGCGTGAATCGGTGTAGCAGCCTCCACGTGCACGAGCCAGTCATGGCGCAGCAAGGACTTTCCAAGCAGCGGCAGCCGACTCTTCCCTGCCCCCCACCCGGGGAGCGGGACGCCACTGCGAGAGCCCAAATCCAGGCACAGTCTCACAGGCTCTTGCTCCCTGTGCCCGGAAGCAATTTGAGACCGGGACTCTCCCCAGGGCCATCTGGGGCTGCCCGGGATGCTACAGCCGCACCAGTGTCCCTGATGTTTGGTCATTTTCAATGCCAATAACTAAGCTATAATGGTTCTCCCACACCTGGAGGCTGATGAATAATGAGCACTATTAAGGCTTATTTCAAATGTAAAAAACCTTGAGATAATGTACTAAATTGTTCAGAAGGTTGTTTTCTTAGTGGAATGCTACAGGATTTTCTTTAGCCATCTGGAGTTCCTGCCTTCATCCCAGTGCCAGTGAAGACGAAGGTGAAAGAATTTCCAGTGTTGCTGAGAACCGGACGAAACTTCAGATCGAGCTAAATGCCTGCAGAACTCACCTGGACTGTGATTTAAGCTAGCTGCCTGCAGAACTTACCTGGACTGTGATTTACCTGGACTGTGAGTTAATCTATTGAGACACTGCTTTACCTGGACTGAGACAACAAACTGTAATCTACAACAAAATGTAACTCGGTATCTTTGCTAACAGTGTCATTGCTGGTATAATTTTTCCAAGGGCTTCTTGCATGGAGCCATCAATTGGCTTGGTATTGTGGCATTGTGTATCCTCCCCTTCTGCTTGTAGCAGATTGTTTGTGGTGTTTGTGTAAAAACCACTATGGTCGTTATTTAAATTAAACAAAAGGGGGAAATGTTAGAGTCTGTAAACAAGTCAGGATGGCGCCTGGCATTTTGCCAGAGGGAGTGGTTTGTGAAGTAACTCCAGTGAGCCATTAAGTGTGGAGATTCCTTATTGGTTGACTGATGTATCTAGTTTATGCTAATTAAGATAAGCTGTGTGGAATGTATAAATACCTCTGTTGTCCTACAATAAACAGCTCCCACTCCTACTGTATCAACGTACACAAGTTGTTCGTCAACCCCCCCCCCCACTATTTTGCTGCAGCCGGACTGCCAGCCAGCCGGGCTGTGGCACTCGCTCTTGCCTGTCTGCTGAACTGCTTGTTGCATGAACAACATATACAGATGTACATGGCACCTCTGCAAATATTCAGTGTGAGTGCCTGACCATGTTTGTGTATCCAGACCTCTGTCCCTGCCTTAGGATCACTACATCGTGCATTTTCAGTAACCAACAGGAAGACAGAATTATTTCAAACAATCCCATAACCAAGACTAGGTCTCATTAAGATGCTAGTGCCATGAATCAGCCCAAGAGAGTGAAAACAGTGGTTTAAGAAATGGAATCATTTTTCCCCCGTCCCCAGAGGGATGGACTGTTGAAACTCACCGTGGTAATTCTAGCCACATGACCCAGGATGGGGCCCAGTCACCGGGTGGGGTCAGGTTGTGGTTGGAGTCCAGGGCGGCTGGGTTGCTGCCATCTTCTGGGGGCTCCTGTTCTTTGACTTCCAAGGCTCTGAGTACCACCGAGGAGGACGTGCTTTTCAGTAAGGCAACCGCCTCGCTCCTGCTGACTTCTGTGAGCTCAGTCCCATTGACACTCAACAAAATGTCACCTGATGGCCAAACAAGCAGAAGCCATGTTTAGTGAGTGCAAACAGGGCCCATCTGCTTCAAGGGCAAAGGGACAAGGATGTGGGACATGCAGAGGGCATGCGTGTATCACTTGTCGCTGGCGTTGATGTGAGGCTGCTCCTCACAGAGCGAACTCCCTCTGTACTCTTTGAACAGGGGAGCAATGCTGTTTGTTTGGGGTTATCTAAAGACTATCTATTGGCGTTTGGCCTTTGCTTTAAAAATCAAAAAAACCTCTACTTTTCATTCTTTTTGTTTGTTCTTAGCATAAAGCGGGAGCTCTTGGCCAAAGCTCCAGCAACGCTCAGAGCCTGGCATAGAGCCCAAGCCCAATAAATATGGAAAGACCAGATGATAAGAAGCTACCCCTGATGGCGCTGGCAGAGGAGTCCAGAGCAGCTAAGTAAGACAGGGTCTGGACCTGCGCTCTTAGGTGGAAAAAAGAGTGAACGTTTCTGCTGTCTGTCGAGGGATGCAGCTAAGCACCTATGTGTGCAGGACCATGTCCATACACCCTGGGTATCGTATTCCAGCTCATATTCCCTCAGTGATTCACTTCAGTTGGATTGCGTTGTTCTGCACGCAGGCTCTCGCAGAAAAGCCAGAGAAATGAAAATACAAACCTTCCCTATTGTCATTTTCTATTCTTTCATCTCTCCTGTTCTTCGGCTTCTCTTCTTGATCATCTTTTTTTTTTTTTCATACAGAATAACCACAGCAGGAGTCAATAGGTAAGGAAATACAGATGGAAAGGCCTGGAGTCCTTGCTGATGTGTCAAGCATCCTTGGCATGGCCGACTGAGGTCTTAACACGCCAGCTCCCGGGGTTCTCAGGCTGAGCAACTGGTCTTCAGAAACTTCACATTTTTCTCTCTTACCGCTTACCCTTCAAAGGTGGAATTGTCCATCCACCTAAGCTACCCCTTTGTGGGCATTGACAATACTGTTACCCCTATGTACTTGTAGAAGTAATTTTTTAAAAATTTATTTCTTTCATGCGTGATAATAATGGAATGCATCACATTCATAACTATCCATTCACAGCACAATTTTTCATAACTCTGTATATGAAGTATGTTCATGCCAAATTATGCCATTATACATGAGCTCTCTTATTGATTTTTTTTTTGCCTTACAATTCTTATTACACCTTTATACCATCATTTATCATATCTCTGTATATAAGGTATGTTGACATCAAATTCACATCTTCATACATGTATTTTGTATAATGATGACCGTCTCCTTCCAACCACCACCTCCCTTCACTTAAAGTAGCCCAGGAAATGTGTGATGAAGGAGGGTGAAACACTTTTTCTCTAATGAGAAAACACCTAGTGCAATACCGCTAAATCAAAATCTACCAAATAATTCCTCTTATCCAACCCATAAAATGGAACAATTCATGAATTAATTTCGTCATAGGATCAATCCAATAAAGAACCACTTAGAATGAACACAACCATTTTATATAGGTTTTATATATATTAGGATATATAACCAAATTATATCCTAGAAGCAACTGCCTCATAACGACAGCCATTGCCTGTTCGTTCTTGGCACAGCCTGGTGGTTCTAGCTTTACCGGCAGGCTAACCGGCCCCTAACAATCCCTATGGACAAAGGAGTGAACCCCGGTCCAGCTGCTTTGTGCCAACTAATCATGGTCAGCCCCTAACTGATGTCCTAGCCAGATCCCACTCACATTGTCTTGGTAATTCTTGAAATCAGTAACCTAGCCTAGCGAGCTTTAATTTCCTCTTAGAGCTCTGCCACCCCAGTGTCTTAATTCTCTTTGCTTTTTACCTGTTTTTATTCTTCCATCTCTGCTTATGACTCCTCCAGGTTCAACGCTGATGACGTAGATAGGCAAGTCCCATTCCCGATGCGATGCTCCCCCTGAAACGGTCATGCCGAGAGATTCACTGGGGTCTTTTCGAACATTTATCACTTTCTCGTGACAGGTGGCTGCAGGATGGAAGGGCTGAAGGCACAGACAGAAAAAAAAAAAAAAAAACATGGTGCATGTATTCACAAGTGGGTTGTCTTCATGCAAAAATGACCAAAGTTGCATACGTTATGAAAATTGAATCAATACGATGACGGTTCTTGGGATCACAGAGAAAGACACAAAAAAGGACTGTCATTTTGCATCCCTCTACAGCAGGTACATTATCCCAAATTCTATAGGCGAACTCAGAGAGAGTTTCCATTTGAAAAGGCAGTAGTAAAAATGGGGGGACAGCCAGGTTGGAGATGAGGGGAGAAATCTGAGGTATACAAAGTGAACTGTATCTCAAATTGGTCAAGCAAGTCACCCATTCCGGAGATGGTGAGTCAACATCTCAAAAACCCTCATCCTTGATGAATATCAGGAATGTTTTGTAAGTTGAAAAACAAGTGACCCTTGCTTCTCTCTTCTCGGTGCTTACTGCACAGCCTTGTCTGCACTCAGCGAAGTTATGATTAACTGAGCATCGAGGGGTTCAACAGGATGAACCAAAGGAACACCACACAAATGAAATTTTAGTCAGAACATAAAAAACTAAGACATCAAACAAGCCATTATGTCCACGTATGTCCATGTGTCCTGAATCTCCATTTGCTCTCCTAATCCGAGAGAGGTCCTAGGCAGTGATGGAAAAACCCAAGTCTCTCAAAAAATCCTTCACATAGCATTTCCGATCCTGGGGAGGGGAGGAGGAAAGTATGATGGAAATAATCTTTTTTATTTTTCTTTTCTCCCCACTCTTCCTTCCATACTTTGAAGACCTTGCAATGTTCCTTAATGCTGAAAAACAATTTCTGATGAAATAGTTCAAGCAGATTAAAAATAATCATACTGCCCAATACTTGGTCAGCCAAGGATTCATCACTCAAGCTAGACAAAATAAATATATTTAAGAATATTTGCTCTGGATTTTTAAAGTAAAAATTTAGACACCTAAAAAAACTGTATGTATGCAGAATAACATCCCAACCTACCATGCACCCTGCAACCCGAGGTGAAAACCAAATGTTCCGCATATGGTTAAAGGGCCCGAGTTCCCCCCCGGTCACATGCCTTTTCCTCTCCCCCAGAGGTCATCCTACGCCTATTATTCCTTGACTTTCCAATGGACCCAAAGCTTTTCTGTTCCATAAATCCTGGCTTGCCTCCTGTGGTATGTCTTTGAATCATTTATGCTCCTATTTTCAAAATGCCACACTGTTTCTTTTTTTTTTTTTTTTTCACACTGTTTCTTAAATCAAGGGGAAAAAAAAGAACTTGAGTCAGAACATAAAAAAACTAAACCATCAAACAAGCCATTGTGTCCTTTAGTTTTATATTAAATATGCCACTCTTTTTGTAAGGACATTTCAGAAGGCAGAGAGAACTACACAGTTTCCCAGAAGGCCAGTGTGGAAGTGTTTCCAGGAATTCAGACACAGGACAGAGGGTTGTGGCAAAGTGGGCAGACCCTCCTGGCCTTGCCATGACTCGTGGCAGGTGGCGGGAGGCCTCCCTTCTAGTGGTTTAATGAATTAGAATGTAATATATTCTACTTAATTCAACTAAAAACAGTTAATTATACAAAAAACTTTAGTTAATGAAGCCAATACACCAGTTTTTCCATTTTTAAAAACTGTCAGTTTAATTTAAACATGTTTAGCAGTGTTTATTAGCAAGAAAACATCAGGAAGTTATTATCTAGAAAATGTTTTAAAAGATTGTATTTGGTCTGTCTAGGTTTCTTATTATAAACATGGAATTTAAGGATCTATGGGGCATAGCTGGCTGGAGATTGGGGAAGAGGATGTAATCATATAAACTCTGGAACAATATAAAGCAATCACGCTCTTTAATTAAATTTTTGAATATTGTTTCTGCATACATTGCTCAAAAACTCAATTTATGGATATATGTGTGTATGTATATATTAAAATATACATGTATGTGTGTATGTATGTATATATGGAGAGGTTAAAGTGTGGCCTCTCATAGAAGCTACAGAGAGAGCAGCACAAGTTGGGTTGAGTCACCTCACTTGAAGGGAGGCTGCAGACTGGTGGCCTGAAAGATTCCACCCACAGATCCATTCTGCTTGATCCAGAATGTTTTAAGATTTTTCTGATTTTTCTAAGATAGGACATGTTCTCTGGTTTGCTCCAATCCCCACCACTCCCTAATGTTCCATTCCATGAGCTTCAAGTGTTTAAATCATCTTCCTGGGTCTGTTGTAAAACGTAAACATATTTAAAATAGCAGAGGAATAATCATTCTTTATTTCCAGTCAGACTGGGAATCTTAAGAACCAGAAACCAAGCAAACCTCTTGTTTCATTTCAAAGTAAATGGAAAACAGTCCTTAAACGTAATGACTCTTGGTAAGAACAAGACATGTATTTGGCTTAGACTAGAAATCAGGTCCCCACATGAGGTCTACTGTAAGAGCAGGTTTTAAAACTCTCTTGGCCCCTTCCTTGCTCCTGCTTGGATAGGAGACACCTGTTATCTCACCAATCAGATGATGGGACTCTGGCCCATAAGTTTTATAGGTGCTACAGTGTTTCTGTAAGTGACAAAGTCCAGAGGTGACACTTTGAAGTAATAAAGTGAGCAGTTTTCCCAAGCTCCTTGCAGGAGCAGCGGACATGCCCGGGCTGGGCCTCACCTTGGGAGTGTTGCTCCTCTCGCCTGGGCCTGGGGACCAGTTGCCATTGCTGATCCAGCTGGCTTCCTGAAGGATGTCTGGGCTGTGCTGTCGAACCTGGCGGGACACGACGAGGTGGACGCGCCTTTCGCTGGCCTGGGTGGGAAGACACAGCTGTTAGCCTCTCTCAGAGCTCATGTGGACAGCATCTGCTCTTCTTCTCTAGCTCGGATGATGGGAGCTGGAGGTATTAGCTTTCTGCCCGCCGTGGTCTCAGTGTTTATTCCAACCAAAGCTCATATGCTGAAATCCTCACCGACAAGGTGATGGAATTACATGTGGAGACTTAAGGAATGAGATTAGTGCCATTATAAAAGAAGACTGAGGGAGTCTGCCTTTCCACGAAGTGAGGACACAGTATCTCAATCTTCAGAACTGTGAGGAATAACTTTCTGTTATTTTTAAGCCACCTGGTTTAGTGTACTTTGTTACAGCAGCCAAATGGACTAAGATGTTCCCTCTCTTCTCTTCCTTCCCAGGGCACATAACCCGTATCTCTCAGGAACCAAGCCCTTGTTTAAAAAACTTTAAGCAGTATGAACCCTTGGCAATGAAATTATTTCCATGGTTGTCTAACACCGATCAGCCCAAATCTTTATGACTTTACATTCTTATGTTAATAAATCTCTCTTCTCAGGGCTTTCTCGAACCTCAGGGGTCATCAACTGGATGGTTGTAAATTAGATGGACTTTTTAAGATAAGATTGCTAAAATGCAGTGAGTATGTTGAATGTCAGTATCACAATGGATGGTCATTCAGGCTGAGGCAGGAAGGTCGCATGTTCAAGGCCAGTCTCAGCAACTTAGCAAGGCTCTAAGCAACTTAAAAAGACCCTGTCTCCAAAAAAAAAAAATAATAATAATAAAAAGTGCAGTGGTGCATGCCTGTAATCCCAGTGGCTCAGGAGACTGAGGCAGGAGGATCATGAGTTCAAAGCCAGCCTCAGCAACTTAACGAGGCCTTAAGCAACTTAGTGAGACCATGTTTCTAAATAAAATATAAAAAAGGGCTGGAGATGTGGCTCGTGGTTAAGCATCCCTGGGTCCAATACCCAGTAGAAAGAAGGAAAGACAGAGAGAGGAGAGGAGAGGAGAAAAAAGAAGAAAGGAAGGAAAGAAAAAAATCCTACTAAGAATGGGGTCCAAAAAGTAAGTTTGAGTCCTCAGCGGGCTCTTCTTCACCGGGCCCAGCCATCTCCTGCCTAGTCCTGGCCTCTATGCCCTCCCTTTGTTCGCCTGCCCATCTTGCATTCCCTGGTGTTTCTCATCACATAGAAAGCCTGTGTCAGAAGAGAGCAAAAATAACAAGCCTAGGAAATAATCATGAAGATGCTGACATGCAGAACTACGGCATTAGCCAACTGTCGATCCTTGGAATAATAGCTGTGTCTCTTTCTTTGGCCTGTAAGCCTCTGTCATCCTAATAAGGTTATCTTTGGGAACTCTCTGAAGCAAAAATCACTAAAAGATAAGCAGCAGCAAACAGTCAGGTCCAAACTTCAGTCACTGAGCCTGAATCTGCTCTTATCTTCGGGGAAATCCACTGTGGCGCAAGCTCCCGGCAGCCGGTTTGTCTCTAGGCCCACGAACCGTCCCAGGTTCATCTTTGGACAAGGAACAGGGCATGATCTAAGCCCCTCATAAGAACTGAGAACACTGGAGACGTACGCATGGGGTCTTTTTGCCAGGCAAAATGGATGTGGCCAAGGAGCAGCCTGCGAGAGCTATTCAATTCACATTTTCGAACACAGATTTCTCACTGTGTTTTCAAAGGCTGGCTCTGGTATTAAGTTGTTGGCAGGAATAATGCTCCAATAAATAACTCTGGTATCAACTTACTTGGAAATAAATTCTCTGTGAGGCTGGATCTGTGGCTCTCACCAGCCACCTTGTAAATTGCTCACAGAGAGACTATTTGAGGCACTTTCTTTTGTAGTGTTTGAAGATAGAAGGTGGAAAATGGGCTAATGTGTTTGTCCTGGCTCTTACCTCTCAGGAGCAGCAGGATTAGGGTAGAGAAACAGCCTGGCCCCAGACTCTTTATTTCTCCCCCACTAGTGAGAATGTGATGTGGGTATGAGAAGATGGACCAGGAGCAGAACAGGGTGAAGGAGAATGCTTCTTTTTCTTTTTTTTGGTACCGGGATTGAACTCAGGGGCACTTAACCACTGAGCCACATCTTCAGCCCTTTTTAGTATTTTACTTAGAGACAGGGTCTCACTGAGCTGCTTAGGGCCTTGATAAATTGCTGAGGCTTTGAACTTGGGATCCTCCTGCCCCAGCCTCCTGAACTGCTGGGGTTACTGGTGTGTGCCACCATGTCTGACAGGAGACTGATTCTTAATTTGATACCTATATAATACGTACCAGGAAGATGGGTACAGTGGACCTGTTATTTTAATGATAAATAATGGCTAGAGGGCCAGCAATGAGTTCAGGCAGAGAAAAAGTTGGTAGATCATCTGCACATGGAGGTGTTTGCCTCTCACCTAGCCAAGGGCTTTTCTATTCATGTGTTAAGGAGGACAGGAGACAAGCTAGATGTACTTTTGGTGCTTTTTTTCTTTTTATTGATGCTGAAATAAAATGCTAACTAAAATGTATTTAATTCGTGTTGTTTCATTCATTGTCTTTCTTCTACTAGCTTTATAAACTCTCTTTCCTTCTTAAAAAAAAAAAAAGAAAAAGAAAAACACTTCAAATTAAGAGTCACTCCCTTCCCCCAGCATGCTGCAGGGCATCTTTCTATGCAAACAACCTGAAAGGGAGACTCCAAATTGATAGTGGGACCTCAGGATTGTGTTGCTTAGAGTAGGAAGAACAGGGACACAGTTCTCTGTAGAGTGCAGTCTAGGTCCACAGGAGGCTCACCAACTGCATGGCTCCCTGATACAGGCAAGTGATGGCAGGGGTGGGACTTACAGTGTCTGCTGCCTGGAGAGCTGGTCTCTATTAATGTTCCATCCCTTAATATCAGAAGTTTTAAAAAATGATCATCTTTTAAAAAACCAAATTCATTCTGCATTCCCCAATGGCTTCTTTTCTAAAAATCTCAGGCTGAGGTCATCTGGCTCAACTGATTCTCAACATAGGCTTGTGGGGCTGGTTCTTTCTATCCTGAATGGCTGCCCCTTTTAGCTTCCCTCCCAGCAAATTTCAAGAATCATGCTCAGCTCATCCATCTGTGCACACGGAGCCCAGGGGGAGTGGGGGAGCACTGATTATATTTAATTAGAAAGTCACAGATATGCAAGAGATGTCAGACATCATCTAATCCAACATTTTCCCTCTAGCCCATGGTTCGATTTCCCTACAACCTCCTTGCCAGTTGTGACCTAGCTCATGAGTCAATGCCCCCAATGACAGGAAGCTCACTGTGTGCCCATTTTAGACAGCACTAATTAGAAAATTTGCCTTTAGGTTAATCTTAAATTTGTCATTTTCTCCCTTGCCTTTGGTTAGGCCCTACAGGATAACCCCAAATAAATTTCCAAGTGACAATCCTATTTTAAGATGGCTCTCATCGCTCTTTCTTAGTTCTTCTTCTTTCCGGGTCAGTTCTTTCTACTTCCTGCAATATTTAATGTTTTCAAATCATCTCAAAAGTCTGGTGAACTCTGGACTCTAATTATAAAGTTGGGTGGAGGTGGGGTGTTTAGAACCGGGCCCAGAGGCTGAGTTCTACTTTGACCAGTATAGCAAGGTTTTTTGGCTGATGGGCCAGATGCACAGAGGACCTCGTCGATGGAACTCCCACCTTGCATAGAGGATTGTCTATATGTTTCATTGGACCAAGAACTCCATAGATTCCTGTCTTGATCATTATTGATTAATTAAAAGATAACAGACAGGACTGCACCACACAACACATTCTAGCAGCTCGGCCTACCTCTGAAACCGTGGATGGGACACAGGCCTTACATGACAATATGGACAACTAGAGGCATCAGACCCAAATGATAAGCTAGAAAAACAACAGAGTTCAGTCACTCCTACTGACTGCATCACATACTACATACTACACAACAAGGATTGGAACAAGGTCCTGGCCCTTACCCTTCTCTCCAGGGAGCAAGAGAACTTCTGGGGTGGGAGGAATCCTTCCCATTGAGCAAAGAATTGGAAACTTCAGAAATATAACTCGAGAATAAGCTAATGGTATGTGGCAAGTTGATGTTCCCTATAAAATGAGCTTGATGAAACCAAATCTGGTATGTGTGGATTTGTTTAGCATTGAAAATTTTAGCATCTAGCACAGGGCCTGGCACATTATAAAGGCAATTCATGAATGGCTACAGAGGTGGCATCTCTTTCAGTGAATGAAAAGCAATTAGAGTTTGGATGATGAGAAAGGAAATTAAGGAGGTTTGAGGAAAAAGTGGGGAAAAGATTTTTGGATTTGACCAGGGTAGCAAGAGAAAATTAGGATAGCAATTTGGTTTATTTTTTCCAGTGTACTGTAGCTCACCCCCTATTCCCAGAAACACACATCTTTAAGGTATAAAGAAATTAATGATGATGATAGTACAGATGGTGACTTAGGCAGGGTCATATGGATGTCAGTTCCAAACTCAAAATAAGCATTTAGTTCCTGCGTTGCTGAATCTGCTGATTGTTGAGTCCATAGAGTGAACCTACTCCTCTGCCTTAAACACCATTTCTCTTAAAGTGTCTAGAGGTTACTTGCAGGATCAACTCTGTTCCATGGTTTAAAAAAAGAGAAAGTGCATGTGGCCAGTAGGCAGTGGTACACACCTATAATCCCAGCTATGCAGGAGGCTGAGGCAGGAAGATCATAAGTTTGAAGCTAGCCTGGACAACTTAGGGAGAACTTGTCTCAAAATAAAAACAATTTTAAAAGGGTTATGGATGCAGCTCAGTGGTAGAGTGCCCCTGGGTTCAATCCCTAGTCTTTTAAAAAAGCAAAACAAAAATATGCATGTGGAGGATGTGTGTATTGGAGAAAGGGTAGTAAAGTGTCCAGATTCCTTAACATTCAGTGTAGAGCTGTGCCTAAGATTTGCATTTATAAAATTCTAGGTCGGAAAGCTGTACAACTTACCAAGGCACAATTTCTCAAAAAACACATGGAATT